ATTCCTACTTCATCTTGAGTAGAAGCAGCTACTACTTCCACTGGCCTCACGTGTTTCCCGAGCTAGAAGCCTGGGAATAAGTTGCCCCAACTTTTGGCCCAACCTTTTGCGTAACCTTAGCGTTCTGACACTTCCACTGCGTGTGTCCGTATTCCCCGCAGTTGATGCAAGCGCCACGCGATCGGCGGTCACGCCACACGTCTTGATCAAGACCTGCCTTAGTCCACTCAGCCTGTTTGGTCTAATTGGAGGCGGCCTTCCCTTGACCCCTAGGTTGGCCCTTCCCTCGGCCTGCCGCCTTAGTCTTAACTACCGCGGCGAGGGTGCTACCCTCATCTACCTCCTCGCCGTCATACTCTGAGTAGTCCATCAGGTCAGAGAGCTCATCGATTTCAGTTTGAGTCCCATCAGACTCGACCATCATCAACTTCGCCCCCTTCTTCTTCCACTCCTGAGGACTCTTCTTCTTCTTTGAGTCATTCCCTGAGGTGGGTTGAGCATTGCCTAGCGTGGCCTCTAAGTCTAAGGCTTTCCTAGACAATGTCTCAAAGGAGTGGTACTCAGTGCGTGCCTCACTGGCTAGTAAGTTCCTCATGTTCTCAGGTAGACATCTAACTAACGTGGTTAAGAGGAACTGGTCACTGTAGTTGATGCCTGGGACGAGGATCAGGCTCTCGACGGTAGTCGTAAGCTCCCTAATTGACCTGAACTTGCGTTGGTCAAGTTGTTAATGACATCAGTGACCCTTTGAGCCTCCTGTGGGTTATGCCATCGAGCTTCTACCATCTCCATGAATTGGTCTAAAGTCAATGACTTAGCCCAATCCGCCATGCGTCGCCCATACCCGGCCTTCACAACTACACCATCTAACCATTTGGCTGCCTTACCCTCTAGGTAAGACGCCGCAGTTACCACTTCATCCTCAGGCAAGGTCCTTTTGGCCTTCACCCAAACCGGGCTGCCTTTCGTCCTTTCTCTCGCCTGAGAAGGCAAGAGGCGGATTCATTGGGGTCTTGGGATACCATTGACCTTGCGGCTGTCCTTGTGGAGGACTAGCCTCTTGCGGTGGTGTAGCAACCACCGCTGGACCCGAAGAAGAAGATGCAACAGTCTGTGCGACTGCTGCAGACGTACCACTTGGTTGTGTGCCAGCTTATAAGGCAAAGGGGCCTGACATCGCCGTTAACGGCAACGACGATTGTGCTGGTGGCCGGAATCCTGGCTTTGTTAAGGCATCTAGGATCTGGTCCAAAGTGCTTTGCATGAAGTCCATCCTGCTGTCTACGTGCTCATGCAGTGACAACATGTTGTCCCTCAACACTTTCAGGGTGTCAGACAAACTCGATTCGTCCAATCCCTCTAACGCAGCCTTGTCAGCCTCTAACATATCAAGTCTGGCCGCTCTACTTTTTATCTCTTTTTCTCTATCGGCTGCTTTCTTAAGATCCTCCTCTAACTGCTGGCGGAGCCTCTCGACCTGTTGGATCTCTCCAAGCTCCCGCTCACGTGCGGTCATGGGGCTGAACTGCGAGCCTGCCATTTGACTAGAAGACTGTCTAGACCCTGTTGATCCGGAAGTGCCCGAGGAACTTGTGGAACTCAGTGGCATTCCCAAATGAGTCCCACTATTCCCTCACGAGGACGCAGACGATGACGCAGCAGAGCTTGCGCCGTTAGCCATTGCTGCTGCTCTGGCTGCTGTTGCCTGCTCTCTAGCTGCTGCGTTTGCTGCGGCTCTCCCCGCTGCTAGAGCACGGGCTCTACGTTCGGCACGAAGCCGTCTTTCTTCTCCCTCGTCTAAGGTCCTGAACACGTGCGGAACCCTTAATGCTTCCGAACGTGTAAGTCTCCTGTTGTCAGCTCTATCATCACCAGGATCTGACCCACTCATTAGTTAGGCAGATAGTGTCTACACTAGAATCCCCTAGTGGAATCCTACCGCAGCATGTATCTGACCGGCACAAAATTTTCTATATATAGTTGTGTCCGGCGAGTCCCCTACTATACCGAATCAAGTGGCATGTCTACAACATTCACACAGATCGTCTACATAGTCTAGATGCACCCTGATTGGTTCACTTACAGCAACATTAATTAGAACTGGCTATGGTAGCATACAACAGTCCTACACTAATCTGTCTGTGAGGTTAGCAGTCCGTCAACCAACTAATCAAAGGTACAAAAAGACAATGTAGCAGATGTATGATTGATGGGTATTGTTGTGTATACAGTTGAGCACCAATTGAAACCTACCCTCCCCTCAATCCAACCATCCGAACAGCATCATTGAGCGAGCAGTGTCTTCGTGTGTGTATCGGCCCACCCCTGTGCCCAAGTTGTCACCGAGCAAGCCAGGCCAACGACTCTTATTTACGCTCGTACGGCGACGAGCCTTCCTGTCCATGTGATCTGGCTGATCAGGAGGAATTTATAGAGCGCCCCCATCTCTGCAGGAATTATTTAATGTCGCAGTCAGAACGACGATCACAGCCAGATTCACAATGAACTCCCAACCAGAAATGTTTATAGACGGTCAGGTAAGCGTCTGTCATGGGCTGGCACAACCGGAGGAACTTCTATCAGCGCAGCAAGTGCCAAACAGGACAGCAGCCATCGCATGCGTGCACTACTCCCTGTGGGTTGGCATGGTGACCGTGACCCAAGTGCTTCGACCAGGGCCCTTCAGAGACACCACCCTTTCTCCTTTCAGATGGTTCTGGGAAGATTGTCGTCTCTCAAGGTAGCGCGCTCACGACACCTCACCAAAAGAGAGGACTCTCAAGTTGGACTCACTTCCTCACGGTAAGAAGAGATTGAGAGAGTAGATAAGGTAAGGGATCAACATACCTGGAGATCGCTGCCCCCAACCACAGATTTCTCACCAATTGAGCTGATGTTGCATTTGATGACCGGTCATGACCTCGGTACCACCCACAACGCAATGCAGTGCCACCTTAGTCCAATGCCACATCAGCATGCTCTCATCACCAATCAAACATTTCGCTGTATCCCACGGCACACACTGCCGTAATAGCCTTCCGGTGCACCCCTCTCTACCCAAGGCGTGCACCTATAGTAGCCTGACGTCACATGTACCCACTGTGAAGAAGCATCGTCAACGCACCAGGTCTGTATAACGCCAGCATGCCAAAGGTAAGTGGCGATCAAACCAGCTCCGATACCAAATTGCAAGGAACATGAGTATGGACGAAGCACAGAAATCCAGAATGCAATATCACACTGAAGTCCAAGTATTCAAAGCCAAAGCAGATAGTACAATGGAACCGAGTAACCATCCAATTGAGAATGATTCAGAAGAATCGTGAGTCAATGTCCATGCCCAACAGGGATACACCAACAGCATAACCCAAATGTATCACTCTCTTGTGAATGGCGCCAGGCGCCCTATCTACTCTACAGCCTATCCTACAACTACAGCAATGAACTCAACCAGACAACTTGACTACCAGCGAGTGATGATGTCAACACCAATGCCATATTCCACCATCACCAGGTACGTGTCCTCTTTCCCACAGTCTCCCTTGTTACCCACACAACGCCCTTCACCTCTGAAGTACCACCTTCACCCTCACCTCCCCTGCACCCTCATGTGGCCCAGGCTATGGCCGCCAGTGCCCTCAGTGCAAGCAGCGCCCTACCGCCTAGCGCTGGCCTGCTTGCTCTTAGCGCAGCACTGCCTTGCACAGCGCAGCACACATGCATCCGCGCAGCGTGCCCGCAAGTGCCAGCATTGGCCAAGATCCCTGYTGCCTCGCCCTGCTTGCCTATATGCCAATGCAGCATGTGGGCGGCCTCCCTTCAGCCTGCGACCGGGACCCAGAGGCTGAAGCCTACTCGATACAGTTGGGCCCCGGAGCAATGCAGTTGCGCCTCTCTTCTCAAGGCCTGCGGCCAGATTCAGATAGTGGGCCGATTTTCCCTTTGGCATTTCGGCCTCTCTACCCAGCATGCATTGTCGGCCTCACGTTCGAGTGCCCAGGGCCTAACTAACTCA